TATAGATATATATATATATAAACTAATTTCCAGATGTTGGAGCGTAATATGACTTAGTCTTATGGGAGTAAACACACATTAACTGATTACATTTACATGAGTGAGTTTGGGTGGATATAAATAGAAGCTGCCTCGAATGGACCAATAGGAGCTGCCTCGTATGGACCAATAGGAGCCGCCGCGCATGGACCAATAGGAGCTGCCTCGTATGGACCAATAGGAACTGCCTCGTATGGACCAATAGGAGCCGCCTCGTATGGACCAATAGGAGCTGTCTCGTATGGACCAATAGGAGCTGCCTCGTATGGACCAATAGGAGCTGCCTCGTGTGGACCAATAGGAGCTGCCTCGTGTGGACCAATAGGAACTGCCTCGTATGGACCAATAGGAGCTGCCTCGTATGGATCAATAGGAGCTGTCTCGTATGGACCAATAGGAGTTGCCTCGTATGGACCAATAGGAACTGCCTCGTGTGGACCAATAGGAGCTGCCTCGTATGGACCAATAGGAGCGGCCTCGTATGGACCAATAGGAGCTGCCTCGTATGGACCAATAGGAGCGGCCTCGTATGGACCAATAGGAGCTGCCTGGTATGGACCAATAGGAGCTGCCTCGTATGGACCAATAGGAGCTGCCTCGTATGGACCAATAGGAACTGCCTCGTATGGACTAATAGGAGCTGTCTCGTATGGACCAGTAGGAGCTGCCTCGTATGGACCAATAAGCCTTATGCAGTTTAATTAGTTTTCATGCTCCTAATCAATACATATCTCTACATTAACGGCTTCAGGTGTTATGTAAATCATTATGAGCGGAATCACTGGTGCATTGATCAAAACGATCGGAAATGGTTTTACACATGTTGAACAAGACGTATGTTCACGCTACAGGTGTTTAAACTCCGAGAGGTGACTACAGTTCTCAACTGTGGTTAGGAATTTGGTCGTTGTTTATTTGGAACCAATTGCAATAGGCAGCTACGTCATTAACGTCGAACTGACGTCGAACTGACGTCGAACTGACGTCGAACTAGCGTCGCATTTGAATAATGTGACCATTCGGTATAAGACAATCTGTTCTAAAGCTGTTTTGTTCATTATATATCAAATAAACATGCTGTTCTCGATCAATATTATTCATATTGCCATGTGTGGTCAGACATACCTTGAGGTTACCTTGAGGTGCTTCCGGGGCTCAGCGTCCCCGCGGCCCGGTCGTCGACCAGGCCTCCTGGTTGCTGGACTGATTAACCAGGCTATTGGACGCGGCTGCTCGCAGCCTGACGTATGAGTCACAGCCCGGTTGATCAGGTGTGGGATCACGTATGGGTACACATTCATGCAAGTACATATAGCGTACATATATACAGCAACAAGCACAATTTCAATATCAAATATATTTTCTTTTATATTTTTATTAAATAAATATTTTATATTTTCAATATAAATATATTTCGACTTTCTTTAATTTCCTGTTAACGAGGGCTGAAGTCCTTTCTAAAAGATAACTTCAAGGGATGACCTTCACTGACGTCAGGTCATTCACAGCGATGTCACTAACGCAGTGAATGACCTACCCTGACGTCAGGTCAATCACAGCGTTGACCACAACACAGTGAATGACCTTCACTGACGTCAGGTCATTCACAGCGTTGACCACAACACAGTGAATGACCTTCACTGACGTCAGGTCATTCACTGAGTTGACCACAACACAGTGAATGACCTACACTGACGTCAGGTCATTCACAGCGTTGACCATAACACAGTGAATGACCTTCACTGACGTCAGGTCATTCACAGCATTGACCACAACACAGTGAATGACCTTCACTGACGTCAGGTCATTCACTGAGTTGACCATAACACAGTGAATGACCTTCACTGACCTCAGGTCATTCACTGCGTCGACCCCTAACGAAATCTTTCGTGTGCTGGTTGGCGTTTTCTATTTGCACAGTTGTCACGATCAGGAGCATTTTGTCAGCAACAAGGTGCAGGCGTGCAATACATACTGTGGAGGAGGGGGAGGGGAATGTATACGTTTGGAGGTGTATATTTGCTTCTTGGTGTATACTGTGATGTATACATCGTCCAGAACCAAATACTAAGAGTTTGCTTTGGTTCTGGACGAAGTTTAGGACTAAAATAGACTTTGCTGATTGGGGTGGTCTTAATAACCCTCCAGAGGTTGATGGGTCTTAAGTCCAACACCAAACTTGCTGGTTGGTCAGTAAGGTATTGTGGTGGTCTTAATAACCCTCCAGAGGTTGATAGGTCTTAAGTCCAACACCAAACTTGCTGGTTGGTCAGTAAGGTATTGTGGTGGTCTTAATAACCCTCCAGAGGTTGATAGGTCTTAAGTCCAACACCAAACTTGCTGGTTGGTCAGTAAGGTATTGTGGTGGTCTTAATAACCCTCCAGAGGTTGATAGGTCTTAAGTCCAACACCAAACTTGTTGGTTGGTCAGTAAGGTATTGTGGTGGTCTTAATAACCCTCCAGAGGTTGATAGATCTTAAGTCCAACACCAAACTTGCTGGTTGGTCAGTAAGGTATTGTGGTGGTCTTAATAACCCCTCCAGAGGTTGATAGGTCTTAAGTCCAACACCAAACTTGCTGGTTGGCCAGTAAGGTATTTTGGTGGTCTTAATAACCCTCCAGAGGTTGATAGGTCTTAAGTCCAACACCAAACTTGCTGGTTGGTCAGTAAGGTATTGTGGTGGTCTTAATATGCTCGTATCATACTATAATGCTCGTATCATACTATAATGCTCATATCATTTCAATTAATGTTTCTATCCTGAAATTAATTTACCAATAAATACCTTATCCCCATAGACAGAATTCCTGTTGCATCCAAATGCTTGGAATATCCTTCAAACAATCGACTTGAGAATGGTCCAGGACGGACCGAAACGTCGTCGTCCCTTCACCTTCTAGTGTGTGGTCTGGTCAACATACTTCAGCCACGTTATTGTGACTCGTCGCCTGCAATATCCTGGAATATCCGGGTATTATCCCTGATAATTCATTTTGCCATGCAAGGTGATTGATAACGCAATATTGAGGGGAGCGGTTGCAGGCATCTATTTCCACGGGGCGTCCAATCTGTCACCTGTCACCTGTCACCTGTCACGAAGTCATTGCCAATATTAAAGTCCCCTTGTCTCACGTCACAAGGGCAGGGACATCGAGAAGCGGTTATGTGTTGTTTCCCAAACATCGTGTCTTTGCCTGTTGGAAAAAAAAATTATATTTTAATAATTCATTCTTTCCCGTGCAAAGAAGTCACTTTAACGTGTTGTATCAATGAGGAATTCAATTGGAGCCTTATGGAGGGGTTCGAACCTGGACCAT